AGGAGGTTCTTCCAAATGTTTAGCCGAAAACCCGTCTGCTGCTATAGTAGTAGCTCATACCTTGAATAAAAATTTGTTGGTCTTAAAGGTGCCACTGGACTCAGACTTTGCTCTACTACTATAGTGTGAGCCCATCTGTCCTTGCATCGATTGTCATTTGGCATCTGAAATAACTCCACTCTCCGAGCTATAAGGACAGATGGGCTCACATTCTGGCTGCATCTGAAGAAGTGAGCAGTGGCCCACAGAAGCTCATACCCTGCCACCAATTTTTGTTAATCTTTACGGTACTACTGGCCTCTTGCTCTTTTCCACATGTGGAGCTGAGACTGAAGACTTCCTGATTTATCATAACAAACTGTGGCGAGATAACCATAACAATTGGACAGTATAACAAACTATGATTAGAAGAAGAAGAGGAGATTAGATTTATACCCCATCCTTCATTTGGAGTCTCAGAGCGGCTTACAAACTCCTTTCCCTTCCCTTCCTCTCCCCACAACAGACACACCCTGTGAGTTAGGTTGGGCTGAGAGAGCTCTTTCGAGAACTCTTAAGAGAGCAGCTCTGACAGAACTATGGCTTGCCCAAGGTTATCCAGCAGCTGCAAGTGGAGGAGTGGGGAATCAAACCTGGTTCTCCCAGATTAGAGTCTGCGCACTTAACCACTACATCAAACTGGCTACTGGACTCTTGCTCTTCTCTACTGCTACAGACAAACTAGATGGAGATTGTTTTTTACGGTTTGTTATGATGTCTGTATGTGGCTACCTTTACCCCAACCTAGTGTGGCTAGACTGAAAACTTCTTAAAGCCCGCTTGCGGGGAGGGCGGGGTATAAGTTTGAAGAAATAAGAAAGAAAGAAATTAAACTGTAAATTTTAGAATTTGTCTCTACATTCAGGAGAAAAAAAGAGTGAGGGAGTATACAAACTGTAGAATAAACCAAGGTCATTTTCATCATGGACAAAACATATTTTCTTCTAGACATTTGAACACTGCCTGGATTTGTATAGTTCTGACAAAGGGAAACACCTCTGCTTTCAAAACTGTGCTGAACCTGCTATGTATCCTTACATGGCAGGCATACTTGAAAACACGCTCTGGAACACGTATCAGCTGTTTGATCCACAGTGCAACTTCACAGATAACAATGCAACACGTGAAGCTCCAATCAACATAATGTTTAGGGCCACTTTAACATCACAGGTCTGCATTGTTAAAAAAAGGCTCAGAGAAAAAAGGATCCAGTTCTAACACCTCAGTGTCACGAAACCATGGCTAGAGCAAGCGGCACCCCAAGGAGCTCAGGACTACATCTTTCATCTCTGATGCAGCAAAAGAGATCATCGCACAAATGCCATCTTCTCTATGGAGAACGCTTGTTGCATTACAAACTGGGTCTAAACTGGATGTGCAGTAGAGTACATATCTGAAGCTGTGTATTCAATGGTGTTCAAGGGATTTTAATGAATACCTACCTGCCCCTAGCCCGAGACAACTAGTTACTACTTTTTATACCAGAACAGTGGTGGATTGGGCAATAGTAGGCAAGTTGGCATGGTTTTACATGCAATACGTTTGTCTTGCATGTTTACAGCACATGCAGCTATATTCTGAGCCCTTGTTCACTGACTTGCACAGGAATGTGCTAAGTCTCCAGGGATCTGTATAAACGAGGAGTTCCCAGAAAGTGTCATCTCCAAAGATCCCTTTCTCTCAGTGCTATTGATGCGCACCTGCTCACGCATGTTCTTTCTGTCAGGACCTGGATTCTTCCTAGACTCAGAGCAGGAGAGAGGAATGAGGAGAACCCTGTAGGAGCTGTTGGCATCCTAGCTGCCACAGACACTCTGGGGTTTCTCAGCACAGGAAGCTTTCATCACAGGTTCTAACATGAACGAGGGATGACATCCATTTCTGGTCTGCACCTCCATTGCGAATGAAGCTTTGAGAACTAAGCTCAGCTGGTTCAAGGCTAGGGTATTTTTATAAGCTGCACATACGGTTCGTCTTTACTGCTGAGCTACATCCAGCAGCTGCAAGTGGAGGAGTGGGGAATCAAACCTGGTTCTCCCAGATTAGAGTCTGCACACTTAACCACTACATCAAACTGGCTACTGGACTCTTGCTCTTCTCTACTGCTACAGACAAACTAGATGGAGATTGTTTTTTACGGTTTGTTATGATGTCTGTATGTGGCTACCTTTACCCCAACCTAGTGTGGCTAGACTGAAAACTTCTTAAAGCCCGCTTGCGGGGAGGGCGGGGTATAAGTTTGAAGAAATAAGAAAGAAAGAAATTAAACTGTAAATTTTAGAATTTGTCTCTACATTCAGGAGAAAAAAAGAGTGAGGGAGTATACAAACTGTAGAATAAACCAAGGTCATTTTCATCATGGACAAAACATATTTTCTTCTAGACATTTGAACACTGCCTGGATTTGCATAGTTCTGACAAAGGGAAACACCTCTGCTTTCAAAACTGTGCTGAACCTGCTATGTATCCCTACATGGCAGGCATACTTGAAAACACGCTTTGGAACACGCATCAGCTGTTTGATCCACAGTGCAACTTCACACATAACAATGCAACACGAGACGCTCCAATCAACATAATGGTTAGGGCCACTTTAACATCACAGGTCTGCATTGTTAAAAAAGGCTCAGAGAAAAAAGGATCCAGTTCTAACACCTCAGTGCCACGAAACCATGGCTAGAGCAAGCGGCAACCCAAGGAGCTCGGGACTACATCTTTCATCTCTGATGCAGCAAAAGAGATCATCGCACAAATGCCGTCTTCTCTATGGAGAACACTTGTTGCATTACAAACTGGGTCTAAACTGGATGTGCAGTAGAGTACATATCTGAAGCTGTGTATTCAATGGTGTTCAAGGGATTTTAATGAATACCTACCTGCCCCTAGCCCGAGACAACTAGTTACTACTTTTTATACCAGAACAATGGTGGATTGGGCAATAGTAGGCAAGTTGGCATGGTTTTACATGTGATACGTTTGTCTTGCATGTTGACAGCACATGCAACTGTATTCGGAGCCCTTGTTCACTGACTTCCACAGGAAAGTGCTAAGTCTCCAGGGATCTGTATAAACTAGGAGTTCCCAGAAACTGTCATCTCCAAAGATCCCTTTCTCTCAGTGCTATTGATGCGCACCTGCTCATGCGTGTTCTTTCTGTCAGGACCTGGATTCTTCCTAGACTCAGAGCAGGAGAGAGGAATGAGGAGAACCCTGTAGGAGCTGTTGGCATCCTAGCTGCCACAGACACTCTGGGGTTTCTCAGCACAGGAAGCTTTCATCACAGGTTCTAACATGAACGAGGGATGACATCCATTTCTGGTCTACACCTCCATTGCGAATGAAGCTTTGAGAACTAAGCTCAGCTGGTTCAAGGCTAGGGTATTTTTATAAGCTGCACATACGGTTCGTCTTTACTGCTGAGCTACATATAGTATTTCTAAAAGGACTCACAGTTTCCCTTGCTTTTTTTCTAGAGATCTCCCTTAGGGAATGCATGAGACTCTTTGGGAGAATTGTCCTTAGCAATAGCTCTAAGGTACTGAGATGGAAGGGCTTCTTAAGTATCAGACTACCAGAACCACCCTCCAGCACAGAACTGGATGTTTGTAATCTTTGAGCGCTGGAGATTCTCCTCCAGAACTCCGCAACAGTTTGCTTGCTCCGGGGTTGCTTGTGAAAGGACGCGGAGCTTCATGGATTAGCGCCAAAGCCACAGTCCTCTGGGGTAGGCAGAGAGACAGACTCTCAGCGGGGGAGCCCAGCAAACATGAGCAACAGTGCAGCATCAGGTCTAACACCAGATGGGAAATGATTGGCACTGAAGAATGTCATATAGGAATACAGCCGCTGCCGAACAGATGGATGGCTCACTTCAGACTTCTCACAAGCAGAGAACAAGGGACCGTTTTTATAGCTGTGCTTTAGCAAAAATATTTATACGATGGCCAATGAGCAGAGTGCAGATTTTCATCTGTTGCCCCTCACTCCTGCCTGCCACAGGCTTTCTGTTCATACAGAAGAGGACCCCTTGGGGAACGGTGTCCAACAGACCACAACCTGAGCAATCTTGGGCTGGCGAAATGTTCAACACGTGTCCCCACTGTAGACCAACTCAAGTTGGGGCCAGGTATGGTTTCTCTGGAGCTTGCTCAACTTGTGGCTGTCTGGAACTGGAATGCACGTCCAGACGGCAGATAAAACACGAGGGCATAGTCCAGGAAAGAGAAACACAGCTGTGGCTAAGTCTCACCGAAAGCAGAACGTGGGAATGAACCATTACTGGCTTTTGCTGATCGATCCAGATGGCCAGCCGTGTTGGCCTGAAGCAGTAGAACAGATTTAGAGTCCAGCGGCACCTTTAAGACCAACAAAGGCACACGAAAGCTCATACCTTGAATAAACCTTTGTTGATCTTAAAGGTGCCACTGGCTTTTGCCGATCGCAGACATTTCCCTCAGAAGTTAATTCCAGCCGTGAGGAGTCACCGGCAGGTGACCTATCGCTGTTACGCAGCAGGCGTCAGTCTTTCGACTGGCACAGTGGGACGGTATGATGCTAGCCACCTGTCCTGATCATGCT